AGGGAAAGATGGAAGAGGAAGAAGCTCCTCTCTCCCTTTAAGAGCCAAATTTTTTTTAAATGAGTTTACATTTTGCAGGAACTGATGGTTTAATGTACCTGAGGAATATGGGGACCTACTCCACTGGTATGTGGATTTTTTAAAAGAGCTGGTTAATAGCTACTATTTATGTTCAGGTACCAATAAAACAATGCAGCAAGCAACAAAAAAGAATGTCATTTTTACCGTCAAACAAAGACTGTACAAGATAGTGGTATATAGAAACCACAGCTCAATGCAGTTACTGATCATTCAGTACAGCAGTGTCTACCCAACAATCTCTGGAAAACTAGTCCAATTAAAAGTAGCATTTCCCTTTAAAACCCTGGGATGTGTCTCGCATTCCCACTTTTACTGGAAATCTATGTCCTACCTTTGTACCATACTTAGCAGTTTACACTCAGTCTTCACTTTTATTAATTTGGTTTTGATCTCTTATTTGCTTCAGCACTTGTTTAGCAATATTAGTTAATGGGCTTGGGTGCAAGGTATAGTAACAAATCCTAAAAAATAAAGCAGCGTAACCTTTTTTCCACCTGTTTTGTCTGCAAGCAATAGGTGCAAAGATGATGGAAATGGCCACAGTGTAGTTTGGAGCCATTCTGTCACAAAGAAACAAATACACATTTCAAGGTTAGTTTTCAGAAAAAGAGAAGACAGGGCAAAGAATACCAGAAAATTATTTACCTCAATGCAATCTGAGGTGTAGAGTTTCACACACTGAATTTCTATCCTGTCTTGATGTCAAAGTATTAGGCTGAGTAATCCAAGGAGAGGAGGGGAGGCTAGAATTCTAGTTAAGAAAGCACCTTTCTTGGAAGAACATAGACACTTTGTTCTAGCCAAGTAACATGTATTTTGGATTAGGCCAAGGTATATGGAAGCATTTTGAAAAGCAGATTTACTCATTTTAAGGGATGAGTCAGAAGGATTTGATAAAGTGAAGTTAGGGCTTGATTCTTAACGTTCACCTCCTATTGACTTAGGCTGGACTTGTGGATGCCTAATCCCACTGAAAGACAGGTGTTTTTCCCACCTGGGTATCCATTTTAACGAACATGTCCTATGATGTGAAATTTCAATTTTTTTTTTTTAATTTAAAGAAAGTGAATTTTTGGTTAAACCGACAGGTTTCTATCACACGGCATCCAGAGATTTCTAAGCACTTCACAGTGATGGGTATGCACTAGTCCCATTTTACTGAGACTGAGGTCCAGAGAAGTTTAAATGACCTAGTCACAGGAAGTCAGAGGCAGAGTTGAAAACAGAGCCCAAGCTGCCTGACCCCTCCCAAAACGAGCCCATCTTCAATGCAGACTTTAAGCAATTAGAACTTCAATGGCAGACTGCTTAACACACATGCAGCACATCTTACCACCACCCATGTTAAAAACTGTTCTCCGCCACAAGAATTAGCCAGTTCTACGGGGGCAAGTAGCAAAGCAGAACACTGGCAGGAGAAAGCAGTGACCTGGACTTATTAATAGCAACTTTAAGTATATCAGAAGCAAGAGGAATGCCACACAATCAGTGGGGACTGTGTAAAAGTCAAGGGGTTAAAGGCACTTTCAAGGAAGACAAAGCCGTTGCAGAGAAGCATTCTTTTTAGGTGAAAAATTTGAGCAATTGGCCGAGATTGAGGTGTCACTGGAGGCGGTTTCGGAACAAATTAATAAGATAACAGTAGTAAGTAACCAGGAGCAGATTATATTCTCCCAAGGGTTCTGAAAACTCAAATATGAAGTATCAGAACCACTAACTGTAGTATATAGGCTGATTTAAGCAGTTGGTTATCATGACTGACAAATCGCTAATGTAAGGCTGATTTTTAAAAACGGCTCCGTAGGCCTTCCTGGCAATTATAGGCCTGTAAGCCTAACTTAAGTAACAGTAAACTACAGTTATCAGATACATGGAAGAACATTCGTTGGGGAAGGGTCAACACTACTTTGGTGAAGCATGATTTCTCTTTACAAATCTATTAAAATCATTTGAGATCAAACATGAACAAGAGTGATTGAGTAGACAGTGTGCTTGGACTGTCAGAAAGTCTTGGATAAGGTCCCTCACCAAAGGCTCTTAAGCAAATTAAGTAGTCATACTCTGCAGACGGAAGCTCATCTCATGAGCCAGGAAACAAAGGGTAGGAATAAATGGCCAGTTTTCACAGTAGAGAGAGGTAAATGGAGTTCATTCAAGGACCTGTACTAATAAGGCCTATGCTATTCAACATATTCATAAGTAATTTGGAAAAAGGAGTAAACATGAAGTAGCAAAGTCTGCAGATACAAAATTAAAGAGTTAAGTTCAAAGCTAACTGCAAAGAGTTATAAAGGAATTTTATAAAATTGGGTGACTGCAACAAAACAGCACATGTGAAGCAAACACTAGAAAACAGACACAACGATGGGGGTCTAATTAACTGTTACTACTCATGACAGATCATGGACAGTTCTCTGAAAACAACAGCTTGCATGCAGCAATCAAAAGAGGTACAGGATGTTAGAAAACATCAAGAAAGGGACAGAAAAATAAGACAATATATCAGTGCCACTACACAAATCCATGGTATGCCCACATCTTGAACACCATGACAATGTCTGATTGCCCCATCTCCAAGAATATTAGAATTGGAAAAAGTACAAAGAAAGGCACAAAAATGACTGAGGAGTGAAAGAGCTTCCATGTAAGCAAAACTAACAAGTCTCAGATTGTTCAGCTTCAGAAGGATGACAGGGGAGGGGAAAGGAGAAGCAGGAAGATCTATTAAAAAAAATCAGTGAACAGGGAAGTGTTATTTACGTCACATAAGAACCAAGTGTCACTAAATGGAATTAAAGGCAGCAGGTGTTAAACATAAGGATATGCTTCTTCACACAACCCACAGCCAGCCTGCAAAACCTGTTGCCAGTGGGTGTTGAAGGCCAACAGCATAATTGGGTTCAACAAGGAATTGTGTAAGTTCCTGGAATATAAATCCGTCAAAAGCTATTAGCCAAGACAGTCAGGGATGCTCCTAAACTTCTGACTGCCAGAAGCTGGGCCTGGACAACAGGGGATGAGTCAACCAGTGGCCCCATTCTGTTCATTCCCTCTGAAGTATCTGGTACTAGCCACTGTCAAAAGACAGGATACTGGGTTCAATGGAGAATTGGTCTGACACATATGACCATTCTTATAGTTCTTATTTTTATTGATTGCTAGACTCAATTCTGATGGTCTCTGAAGTTTTCATACTTTAGCATTTACTGGGAGACGTTATGCGCAGCTTTCTGTATAGAGGGCAGGCCTAACGGTATTTGGCCTATTTACCCATATCTGCACAAGGCCACTCTCCGGGTAATTTGTCTTCAGGTAAGGCCACTGGAAAAAACTGCAGAAGGATAGAAGACAGGAGGCACTTATGTTAGTAAATATATCCGTGCATCAGTGAATGCTTGTTGATATAGGACTAGGCTCACTGTAAAAGTGATGGTGAAAATATTAAAGCACTCTAAATCAGCATAATTCTGCAGCAAGGTACCTGGATGTAAGCTATTTTGCACAGTGACAAAGTGAGAATACACATTTTAACATTTGGCTCCCCTTCCTGCAAAATGCTCTGTGCTTTAGTGTAGCTCTAAGAAGCAGAGTACTTAAAATATGCAATAGAAAATGAAGTTTAGCATGAACTGTGCTGTTTACTAGTTCCTGACAGTATTAGTATTTAAACATTTCTGGGAGAAGGGATTAATGCTGACAGTTCCCAGCTTTTGTGTTTCTTACCTACAGCATACCCTACTCTCAAACCATGAAAAGCTTTATATTTAAGGTAGGGGAGGCATTATTGCCAAATGTGCTAACTTCTAAATGACTCCAACAAGAAATTATGGAATATCTAAACAATGAAGGACCTGAGAAAAAAAATCAGTCAGCTATATCACCACAGTCTTAATTATTGTTTTTACGAGGTGATAGTTTAAAATTAAACATCAAATGCAATTCTGAAGAATGTATGAAGAAGATTTGGCATTTTGTGGGTGGAGTGTGTTTTCTAGAGACTTTTTTTGCGCGCAACATACAAGCAATGGAGGTCAAGTTTAGTCATTTTACAGGTTCTGTACTTGTTTGCCATAAAACTATAAACTCGAGTCAACTCAAAGCTACAGTGAGATTAAAGCCTTAATTTCAGAAGAAACTGGCAATAATATGGTCAGCAGCAGCTTTCAGTCACACATCAAGAAGTCTGGCAGGACCTGATTTTTATACTTCTGTTGTAAACCAAAATTTTAAACACACAAAAGGTATTCAAATAAAAATGTCTTTTTGCACATCACTGTAGCATAAGCTGCTTGAGGTTGTCATGAAGAATGGTATCCTTGACGTCACGGAAAACCAGCCGGATGTTTTCTGTGTTAATAGCAGTGGTGAAGTGGTGGTATAGGGGCTTCTGCTGTGGGTCCCGGCGTTTGGCACGAAAACACTCCACCAGGAATTTCTGGACGTCTGTTAAGCAGTGGGGATCCCCTTCGAACTCTGGAAAATAGTTTTTGATGCTCACTTTTTGTACTTTTTCCTCAAGCAAGTCTGTCTTGTTTAAAAATAGAATAATGGAGACATTGTTGAAAACCCGGTTGTTGACTATTGTTTCAAAAATGTTCAGAGATTCTGTAAGGCGATTTGTTAGCCGATCCTCCATCAGCACCTGGTCAAATTCACTTGAGGAGACGAGGAAAAGTATTGATGTGACACTGTCGAAGCACTCAAACCAACGTTTCCTTTCTGACCTCTGGCCACCTACATCAACCATTTTGAAGGGAACATTTTTTATTTCAAAGGTGTACTCGTAAATGCCTTTTGTGGGTTTTCGTGCCAGCAGAATATCTTGCTGCGATGGAAGATAATCCTAAAAAAAATAAAAATAAAGCAAAGTTTTCTGGTTAGGGGACAAGGCTTTAGCAGACCTCTAAGAATAAGCTGCAGCCCATAAAAGCTTATGCCCTAATAAATGTTATTGTAAAGTGCCACAGGACTAGTTTTTGCTGGAAGGAAAGTTATTTCTGATCAGTCTTCATGCACTATTCCACTTTAAAAAGAGTTCAGACTTTAAGGCTGGAATTAACATAACCAATCAAAAAATGAGAATCCCTCCACAGCAATGTTTCTCAACTGGTCCATGGACTGATACAGTCCCTGAGATATCCCTGACAAGGTTTAGGAAGGCAGCAAGTGGGAATAAAAAAAAAAAAAAAAAAAAAAAGTTGAGAAATATCGCTCTAGAGAACTGAAACCTTCCATCTGCTACATCTCAACTGTCCTTGGTAAACAATATTGAAAGTCATGTTACCCATTCCTCCAGCCACCCACTTCCTTTATTCCCTCATTACAGATTCATATGCAAGAAGTCTTTTTCCCTCATCCGTTATACTAGTGGATCTCAAACTTTAGCAACATGGGGATGCTATTTTGATTTAATTTTTTTCAGGGACCCCCTGCCCTGTCCCCGCTCCATCCTCCCTCCCCTCCACTCAATCACCCTCACCAGGCTGGAGCAGGAGTTTAGGGTACAGAAGGGTGGGGAGGGCTCTGGCAGGTGGTGTGGGCTTTAAGGTAGGGCTAGGAATTAGGGCTCTGAGGTACAGGAAGGGGCTCCAGGAGGACATTCAGGTATAGGAGGAGACTGATGGGACAAGGGCTTAGGATATGGGAGGGGTTCAGGATCCTGGTGACACTGTCTCTCCCAGGTCCCTGCACCCCTAGGTACATGGGCAGTCAGGGAGGTTCTGCAAGTTGCTTTAACACCCAAGGCACCAGCCCTACAACTCCCACTGGTCACTGTTCCTAGCCAATGCATGCTGGGGAGGGAGGGGGGTCAGCACATGGGTGGGGCTTCCTTGGCAGTCTCTCTTAGGACTGATGGTGCCTGTCTTAGCCCTAGGAAGGAGAGCAGTTGGGGGAGGGAGGCGGGGGGCGGGCAGGGGAGAAGAGCTGATCAGGGGACTGGAGACCCAAGTGTTCCCTCGCAGACCCAGTTTGTTGGCTGCCATCCTCTACCCCAGAGGGGGCTGCATAAAATGAGTATGAAATTTAAACAGTAAGCATTCAACTCATTACCCTTTTCCCCTCTGACTACTGCTCATGATTAATTTAAACAAATCCAACACCACTGATCAGGTACGGAGACTGCCTAGTTCAGTGGTCCCCAACGCGGTGCCC